CCTAAATTATTCAATAATTTCTCTCGAGCAATGTCAAACATGTTCTCATACATGACCCAACTATATTTCTATGATGGACGTGAACATACAAGAATGCATGAGTTTTTATGAACACTTAAAGATTTACTTAAGGCATAGCGATATATTTATTTCTCCTATCGTATCTTATGATGATTTATATATATCAAATTTATTTCACTTCTCTCGAATGTATGAAATAAACCACCAAACTCACATAATTATCGTGCACTATAATCATAAAGAAAATAAGATCATATAAATCATTCAAATATTCAAAATGTGTTTTTGATGTCAAGAATGTAAAACTAAGAATTAAAAATTATATTACATTTTTCATCTAACCCTAGTACAGAATTAGTTTAGCCTTGCATGATGGAATAAAGAAAATCAAAAAAATTAATGAAGAACGATATCACTAATTTGATTCTTGAATTCAATCTTCGCGTCGTGTTCTTGCCTCTTTCTCTCTCTCTCTCAAAAGCTTCAAAAATCTCATCCCCTCTAGTTTTGGACTGCCTTAGGGTTTTTATATACATCACAATATTTGTTTCCATAGGTGTTTCAATCAAAGGAAAATGTTAAGTGTACACCACCTCCTACATAAGGGTATACATAATGGACACCCGACGTCTCTCTATTGGAAGAAGTGCCGACCCCACTGGCACTTCCTCCAATGGAGAGGCGCCGGGTGTCCATTATGGACACCCTTATATAGAGAGTGATGTACTTGTAGTATCACCCTTCAATCAAATTAGGAAATCTGAATTTCGCATCAAAATCTTTAACTATGCGACTGCATAGTATATTCATATGTGATAGCTTTCATGGACTGCACCCTGAAATTTGCTGAAGGCTCCTATGTGACCGCAAGGTTTTAAACTATGAAGCCGCATAACTTAATCGTCTTCCAAAATGTAGCAATTTGGTCCTCGAATTTCCTTTTGCACTTCTCGACCTCTTTTCCAACTTTTTCCTCTTCCAATGTTTCATCCAAAGCTCAATTGATAATTGGCATCTTCACGTCTCCAATTCCTTTTCCGGGCTATCTTTTATTTATTTGCACATTGATCCCTGAACTTTGATTTTCTTTCATTTTAGTCTCTTTTCCATTTTTTCCTAATTTCCACCTTATTCATCATTGTTGTTCTACAAAATACAAATTATATCGAATTAAGCTATATTTCACATATTTATTAACAATTATCCATATTTGTGGCATATAATAAGTGTGTAAAATGCACTTATCATTACCCATAAATTCATTTGATATAAAAAAATAATAAAAGAAATGTCATTCACAGGCCAAAACATTGTAGATTTGTCCTTTTAACAAAAAAAAAAAAGAAAAATAATATTAAAATTTGTTTTCTTATTTATTATTATTATTTTTTTAATGAAAATAAAGTTGAAATAATATTTTTAATTTGTAATGGAAACTCGAATGGAAAGAGTCCAGCAATAACATTGAAAGGTTGAGGGTGTAATATCATGATTTAAAAATTGGGGACGTACTTGAAAAATTATAGGCTAAGAAATTCTGTGTTGTTGATTCTTCACCTATGACTTACTTGGCAAGTTAGTCCTTAGTCTTTAAATTGAGAAATTTGGCTTTAATGGAGGTTCTTGTTAATTTTCCATTATGTAAACCTCCCGTATCGTTCTTTAGAAAAGTGAAATAAGTAAAACATTAGTCTTTGATAGCTTGCATTTTCCATGAAAAAGGAAAACATTTTCCTTTTCCACCATTAATAGGTTGTTTGATAGGTTAAATTTGTCATAGAATTTTTTTTTCTCATCCATCCATTTTTCCTTCTTTTTAGGGAATTCTAGTTTCAGCCTTTATTTATATTTTTTTTGGCAATGATAACAAATTTTATAACCAATTATAAAAAAAAAAAAAATCATTTTAATGGACAATTTTCATATAAAACAAAGTCAAATGAATACTAAACTTTGATGAAAAAATAGTTTTCGAGCAAACTTTTTATTTTTTTGCAAGGGTAACAAATTTCATAACAAATTGTAAAAAAAAAAATTCACTTTAATTAACAATTTCTATGTAAAATAAAGTCAAACGTGAACAAAATGATCCAAAATTTTAAAATTTTTTGGGTGGAAAATTATACCCATCAAACACATTATTTAACAATTCTTTGGAAAAACAAGTTCTAGGCAATTATATTATTTGAGATTCATTTTCTTTCTACCCTACTAATCAAACGGAAAACAAATTTCGTTTTTTTTTGTTTACTTTTTGACAATGGAAACAAATTTTATAACCAATTGTGAAAAAAAATTATCACTTTAATGGAGAATTTTCACGTAAAACAAAGTCAAACGAACAAAAAAAGATCTAAAATTTTAAAAAAATTCGGATGAAAAATTATACCAATCAAACACACTTAGTTAACAATTCCTTGAAAAACAAGGTCTAGACAATTGGTTATGGTATTTATGGCTTCTATGGTATGTTTCAATGTTGAATAATGCTATTTATAATAGTTTACTTCGTAATTGTCTTACGTAATGTACATATGATGGTCAATGATTTGATGCATAAAGTAATAAAAAATTATCGCATCAATACATCAAATCACTAACTGTCACTTGTATACTACCTATGACGATTATAATAATGAATGACTGTAAATAAAATTATTTATATTTGATAATTGATATGATTAGATATTCTGACATTTAACTATTTTGTCACATTTGTAACCTTACGCTCCTATTATTAGACAAATTGACTCCAATTATTCCTGAACACTATTCGGTGAGCTAATATGCTCGAATAAAAATTGGCATACAACCTTAAAAATCAATAATTTTTTATTAAAATTTTGAAAAAAGTACAAAAAAATATTGGTCTTTCGACAAAGGGAAACAACCCTTTTTCGACGTGGGCCACAGGCTACCAATTTCTACGGCTGGCCAGCCTTAGAATGTAATACGGACCTGGCCTAAAACTGTACTAGGGGTCGGTTCAGAAAGTACTAACCAAAAAGATGGCCTCTAAATTTTATCGGGCACCGAATATGGTCTTCGAATGAATTTGGTACACATTAAAATTTTTATTTTCATTCTTGTATTCATTTCAACCATATATTTTTTAATAAAATAATATTTTATATCGCATTATTAACTTTTCCTTCTTTTTTCATCTACACATCCTCCATCAATCTACTTCTACTGTCACACGTACATTCTTTCAAGATAACCGAGCTTAAACCCACCCTAAATTACACTTCGCAGCGCCGTCGATTATCATCGTTAACAAGCGGATTCTCTCTTGCCATTTTCTGGTATTACAGAATTCAAACAAACATTTAGCCCATGTTTCGTACGTATTAAATTTTTCATTTTTATTCTTTTACTCATTTTCAACCAGACATTTTTCAATAAAATAATATTTTCCATCACATCAATAATATTTCCTTTTTTTTAAACATATATTCTCCATCAATCTACCATTTTAAAATACATTCTTCCAAAATAAGATGCCTCAAACACACCCTTGCACTCTAATTCCAGCCCTATCTCTTGTTTCAGCTTCCGAATTAGGGATTCTGTTAATTATCTTTTTTTTTTTNTTTTATTGATTTTTTTTTTTTTTTTTGATAAGAACTTGGCATTAATCAAACGGATAAACCGATTACAGACGAAACAAGCCAAAATAGCTTGAGACACAAAGTCTGGAATACAATCCAGTCCAAAAACGAAGTTACAACTGTGACAGTGTGTGACTTATGAATACAGGTAAACCCGATTAAAATTCAACTAATGCCATCAGCACTATAGCACCCCCGCACACAGAGGCGGACATCGTCTAAACTTCAAATCTCTCCGAGGAGAGAGCAAGCACCTAACCTAAACACACGAACAAACCAAACGAAAAACAACGACACTAAACAAAAAAAACAACACAAAACAAACTAAACAACCAACGCCACCAAACAACCACCAACCCAACCAAACACATCAACCACAGCAACAAAGCACACCACCCCCAAAACCACCAAAAACAGGGCCCCAAAAATCGGGCACAGCACCCAACCGAAAGGGTTAACCCCGCCGTCAAAGAACCTCAAACCGGTGCACCCAAAACGAGCTCCGGCAACACAAGCCAGAAGGAAAATGGCCAAGGACCCAGGTTTCATCCGAGCACCACAGCCACCGCAACAGTGACTGGCCGAACTGTCCCCAGCCGTACCTTGACCGCCGCTTGCCCCATGCCCTTGCTCCCGAATGCAACCGATCGAAGCCACCACCACAGCGGATGCCGACCCAAACCAATCGAGCGCTGCCCGGACCCCGTCTCCATCCCGGAAACCGCCGCACCAGCAAACCCAAACCCAAAACACCAAAACAAGAAAAGAAAGGAAGAAAACAAAGGAAGGGGGAAGAGGACGGAGGATGGAGCCGAAGCACCCACCCCCCGTCAAACGCGCCGGGAACTAGTATGAGGAGAGAAGAGAGAGAGTTTCTGAAGAAAGGGAGGAAGAGAGAGTTCCAAATTTAATCCTTCCCCCTGTTAATTATCTTTTTCATGGATTCTTTGCTAGTGAATTATGCGTCCTCAGATGAGGACGAAGAACAGGAAAATCAGCAACAGTACCAGAAAAATATGTGGATCCTAAAAAATTGAAGGTAGAAGATGAAGGAGAAAAAGATTTTCTATAAAACCATCCGGGAAAATCTCCAATTCCCTCCCACCTTCGAAATCGTCTCTCTTTTATTCGCTACCTCCACCCAAATCCCACCTCGCACAGACCCCATTTGATTTCAAGGAACCCTCTTTGCCAAAACCCCAACCGCAATTTAAACGAGAGGAGCTAGATGAAATCCCAGAAAATACTTCATTGTTTTCGTTGCTTCCTCAACCCAAATAGTCATCGTTGTCATTTTCTTCTTCTCTATTTTCTTCACTTTCGCCACCAAAATCTGGTATCTTAGAGGCCCCTCAAATCCTCCCAAATATGACTTCATCTGCTTCGTTTGATTCTAGTTCGAAAAAGGTTGTTCAATTTAGGCCTCCGCCAATTGTGAATTTTATTTCGAATAAAGTTAAGGATGAAGAGGAGGATTCGGATGAGGACGAGAAAGAAAAACAAAGAAAAAAAGTCAAAAGAGTCTGTTTCTACTTCATCTGTGAAGTCGTTTTTATTAAGTATTCCTGCACCCAAGAACTTGACCACATTGGGTTCTTTACCTTCAGCTTCGGGTACTGGTAGGAGATCTATGCTTGAAACTTGATGCTACCAAAATTCGTACCTAGATGAATTCAAGCTGCACGAGAGAACTCCACGCGATCTGGTCTTCTTCAATACCTGAAACAAAGGCAGCGAGGTGTGTCCTCGTTGCCCCTCCGATGCTTAA